TTTATTTACTTACAACCATTGATACATAACCAAAGATTATAAGATTAATCGTCCAAAAATCTCAGATTACCTGACAAGCTAGTATGACAGTTGTTTGACATAGATAAAACGATAATTAGCGTTTCGGAAACCCAAAATACTTCTGACAGGCTGTTAATCATCGATTATTTGTTTGTTAGATTAGTTAATGTGTGTTATGTGATTGAAGTTTGATCGATGTTTCTGCAACTCAAAATGCATTTAATCGACTGTTAACAGTAGATTACCTAATTTTGATAATGATCAGCCTTTCGGAAACCGGCTGTAAGTTGCAGGTCATAATTTTATTTGATAGCATTTCCTAATATACAATGCAAATCTTCAATTTTACCTCCCTCCAAACTATTTTCTGAACCAAAAACTTGAACTAATAAATTTTTGAGCAACTAATTTGACACATGTTGATTTTTTGTAACATTGAAGTGACGTAATCAATAAAAATGTCGTACGGGCGCTCTTTATAAGTTAGTTTCAAACGGGATCATATGGTAAATAATACATCATTTGAAAGCACTGATGTCACTCTGTATGGTCTTAGATATTTGTCCAATTGTTCTGCCACAGAATAATAAACAAACAGAATACCCACTCTCCACGGAAAATTAAGTACGCGCATCTCCTCCGCGCAGACGTTCCGCCATGTTTTAGGAGGATTTTAAAGAAATTAGTGTTGTTTATGTGGTGTGCATGGAAAAATTAACCAGGTTTATTTGACTTACGGCAATCATAGACATACTATACAATTATATTAACATTGTTAAATATAATAACATAAATATAATATAATTAAACATAAATATAAACAATTACATAACCACACAAATCATATGTCTGTGTCCCCCTAAAACATGGCGCGCGTGCTGAAAAAGTTCAAAGGCGGCATCTGAGAGTGGCCCTTCTGTTTGTTTATTATTCTGTGGTTCTGCACAGTTTCAAAATGTTAACCGTTAAATACTCAATAGAGATAGTGGAGAAAAAGTATGAACTACCATTAATAATTTGATAATCTTCATATTTTATGGAAGAAACCTAAACAGGTCGAGTAATTTTTCCATCATTTGTTCTATTATTGATATCTGTGAAAAATATAACGTCGTCGACATTTTTCTTAAATGACAATATATCCTAGATTTTTTAAAATGGTAAATATCTTAAACTGATTACCAATGAAAGCATCTTGTTTTCAATAATATACTGAGTGACAAAATAATGTTCAAATATCATATATTTGAGGAAATTGTCGATGGCACATGTCAGTAAATAAACAAATCGGTTTTATCAGTTTGTGGGAAATTGGCGGAATAAATTGTTACAAACATAGGTAAAGAAATAATAATAAGACTTACTCACAATCAATTTAATTTAACAATCTGACGACCGGTTTCGCTTTCTACAATTTGCAAAACATCTTCAGGTCTAGATACAAAGTTAAACTAATGCTGCAATAAATAGTTTAACTTTGTATCTAGACCTGAAGATGCTTGCAAATTGTAGAAAGCGAAACACGACAAGAACACCTAGAAATCTTGACCACACCACCAAAGTAAAACAAGAACTAAAAATACTGAAGTCTGTATGCCCGTCTACATCTGAATACTCTAATAGGCTTACTCGAGAAGAAATTATTTCAACAATATCAGAAATTAAGTCTGGAAAGGCACCCCGCTTCGATAAAATTCATCCAGAATTTTTACTCCACTGTAGCAGATATGTTAGGAAATGGCTGGCTGATTTTTATACAGATATATTAAAATTAGGGAAAATGCCCCATTTACTAAAAAAAGCCTCCATTAAAACCAGGAAAGGCAAATGATCAGCCCCAAAATTCCAACCGATTGCACTGCTGAGATGTGTTTATAAACTGTTGGAACGCTTAATCTACAACAGAATTCGTAGAAACATATTTGAATTGATACCTATTGAGCAACTAGGGTACATACCTACCGCAGCTACACAGATCAGATCCTATCCCTAACAACACATATTGATGCAGGTTTTCAAAGACAGCAAAAAACATCCGCTGCTTTCATTGACCTATCAGCTGCATATGATACTGTCTGGAGACAAGGACTAATCTGCAAATTAATCTACTACCTCCAACTTTGAAAACCAATAGAGACAATCGCTGCAGGCGATTTGAAATCCGAGTAGCGATAAAATAATAAGATTTCTGTATATCCAATATTAAATAATATTCAATGTTAAAGACTAAAAACTAAATCATGAATGTGTTGCTTGTGTGAGTCCATTTCAAAAAGGTAAAGAAATAATAAATAAGACTTACTCACAATCAATTTAATTTAACTATTCAGACGACCGGTTTCGCTTTCTACAATATGCAAAGCAAACTTCCACAAAATTTATTTTAAATCTACAGCTGTTTCGGCTAATTGCCTTTTTCAAGTGATCTATTTTTGGCTTGGGTTTACAAATTTATAGTCTCTAATGAAATAGGTTGAGGAGGGGAGAACTGTTTGTCTCAAGTTGGTCATTCAGAATTATATCTGTGTTTTTTAATTTGTTGAGTTCCATATATTCTAACAAAGATAGCTTAAGGCCTTTATTTTGAATGTGAAGAATTTTAAATTTGTCATTAAAAGAATGATTATGATCTAGAAGGTGAAGTGCATATGTCGACTCTGTTTTTCTATTCTTGAAAGCCCTTTTATGTTCTGCTATTCGTTTATCAAAGTTTCTACCAGTTTGACCGATGTAAGTTTTTGGGCAGTCGCCACATTGAAGTTTGTACACACCACTATTTAAGTGTTTTTTTTAATTTTTGCTCTTGTTATTTTTAATATATTTGGCTAGGTTGTTATTTGTTCGGAAAGCTGGTGTTATTCCTTTCTTTTTTGTATTTGGCAATTTTTGTTGTTATTTTGCCTGTATATGTAATCGAGCAGAAGGTACTGGGTTTTTTCTCTGGTGATGGAAATACTAATTTCCACCAATTAATAAAATGTTAAATCAAAAACTACACAAGAAAGCCCTGAAATTAGTATTTCCACCACCAGAGAAAAAACCCAGTATCTTCTGCTCGATTACATATACAGGCAAAATAACAACAAAAATTGCCAAACACATAAAAAAGAAAGGAATAACACCAACTTTCCGAACAAATAACAACCTAGCCAAATATATTAAAAATAACAAGAGCAAAAATAAAAAACTTAAATAGTGGTGTGTACAAACTTCAATGTGGCGACTGCACAAAAACTTACATCGGTCAAACTGGTAGAAACTTTAATAAACGAATAGCAGAACATAAAAGGGCTTTCAATAATAGAAAAACAGATTCGACATACGCACTTCACCTTCTAGATCATAATCATTCTTTTAATGACAAATTTAAAATTCTTCACATTCAAAATAAAGGCCTTAAGTTATCTTTGTTAGAATCTATGGAAATCAACAAATTAAAAAATACAGATATAATTCTAAATGACCAACTTGAGACAAACAGTTCTCCCCTCCTCAACCGATTTCATTAGAGACTATAAATTGCAAACGCATGACAAAAATAGATCACTTGAGAAAGGCAATCAGCCGAAACAGCTGTAGTGATAATAGTTAAAATAAATTTTGTGGAAGTTTGAAAACAAAGTTTTCAGTGTTTTATTGTTACGAAAAAATAAGTATTTTTCAAAGTTTTCTGTTTTTTGAAGTTCTATATTAGTTCTATATTATATTTTTCAGTTTATGTACAAAATAAATGTGTAAAATGTATTTAAAACTGGGTTTCTAAAAATTCATCATAATTTATCTTTGCAACCCCAAACGGAAAAGAAAGGGAAAAATCTAGTACTGACAAATCAAGATTTTGCAAACCTATAAAAACTACTTACTATTTTTGCTATTATTTGCACAAATAAATACGCAACATGTATTTGCACCCATTTTTGATAAAATTTATGCGTAAATACGCACGCTGGCTTAGTTTCAAGGTACCCCTACCATGGTTACGCACGGAGCGAATAAGATACCTGTTAAAAGACACCTGATAATTTAATAACTATATCGGTCTTAGATTGAATTAATTACTTATGTGTTTAAATAAATAATTAAATTTTTTTGGTACGCCTCTGTAAAATTGATAAGTGAAATATGATTTCGTTGAAATGCTATCGTTAAGGGCTTAGTTAAGTGCGATGTTGCAAAGTAATCACCTTCAATTAAAAAATGTTTTAGTATAGTGGTGAATGGAGCTAAGTGAACAAAACCCTTCTACCCTCATATAAATCGAATGTTTTATTAGTGTTTGGTTCAGTACAAAGAAGGTAACACTTTGTTTGATAAATCCCAAAAAAATATGAATAGTTCAATAAACAAGAAAATTTAAGCCAAAATGTATTTTGGCTTATCTGGAAACTGACTTTTGTTGGTTAGCTCTTTTACATCAATGGCGACGATTTGCAGTTTTAAAATATATATTTGTTGGGAATATCAGTTGCTATATTATTAGGCCTTAAGAGTCCTAGAGGCAAAGATTTATTATTTAAATTTTATGGTTAAAAAAATAATTAGTGAGAGTGAACTTAAGACGTACACCATACACTAACGTCTGAATACTGGATAGAGGGAGTAGACGAACGACAGTACCGTGACATTTAAATACTCGTGGATAGATGGCGCAACTATAAAAGTAAGAACATCAGCTGTTGTTCGGTCACAAAAAGATTTATATGTAGATATAAACGCGTAAGACAGATTTAATATTACACAAGATTGCAGATATTTTCTAGTAATTGATTTTATGACTATAAACAAGAAGAAATTTACTGATTTGTTTTTACATTATACCCTAAATGGGGTGAGTACCATAAAAAGTTTGTTAAAAGCCTCCACACGGATATATTGACAATGCACCTAGTCTCGTTTGATTATTATACATTTTCCGATACTGTACAAAAACATTTTGAACTGCCAATTAAAAACTTTTGTATATGAAAAGAGAAAAAAAATCAATTCCACCTCCATCTTCCTAAATAGTCCTTGTAGCTTTTTCGTCGTTTTGTTCTTTTTGTCATGGCTATCTTTTTAAGAATTTCTTTAACGTACAGCTGAGTGCTTTTGTCCTGCAAAATTTGCAAATGATCCACATTCGGTAATTCTTGCACGAACACTTTTTGTTTCTGAAGCGTTCGCCAGTGTATGCATCCTTCTAGAGAGCGTCGATTGACCGTACTATCTCCATCGCCGTATATCAGGGTAGGATACCCCGTTAAATCAGTTCCAGGTTTGTAATATAACCTAAAATGTAATAGCCATTTAAATCATTCTGTAAAAGCTCTCAGACAGAGCTGGGTAATTCCTACTTAAAAATTATTATTATAATTATTTTTAAAGTACATGTCATATTACCCAGCTTTGTTCTTAAGTTTAAAAATATCAAATCGTCAATTCCTCGCAATTTTATACTGAGACTTCCGTGAAAGATAAGTCTTGAAGATGACTCCACAAAAAGTCGAAATTTTGACATTTGTGAATATTTTAGCAGGTACAGGAATTATTATTAACTTTATCAATTAATCTTCGCCAGGATACGTTAATTAATAATAAGTTAAACCAAGAAAAAAGCTATACCGCTCACCTTTCCACAGTCTTAACTCCTGTTCCATATAAACAATAAACTTCAACGCCTGGCGGTTTAAAATTCACTTGATACGGTTCTGTATCTTTCCGCATTTCCCAACCGTTAGGATAATTGATCCCTCTGTAAAATATATAAAAGTGTTAATAAAAGTATGTACAAGTTATCAGCTTGGACTATAGATGGCACTGCTGTAAACACAAGCATACAGTTGTATGCTTGTGTATTTGCTATATTAGTATCAAAGAATATAGACGCATATAGAAGGATCATTCACTTTCATTTTTTAGCGTCGGCAAAGGTTATACACATGTTATAGAAAAGAATCCGAGGTTATCATGATTTTAGTTCCTTATTTCTACCATTAGGGAGCGGTCATGCGCTGACATGCTATTGCTGCTTCTAAAATATGAAAGTGGGGCAACAAATGAAACTTGGGATATTTTTATATGTAGATGCCGCATGGTCGTAGAATAGCATTTAATTTTTGCGTTTTATAAAATTTTTTAAAGAAAATGAAATATTATTTTAACTTTTAATAAATGAATCTTTTTAGGAAAAGTATTATGATTCAAATTTTTAATTGAAATATGTAAACATCTTTAAATATATATATATATATATATATATATATATATATATATATATAAATATATATATATATATATATATATATATATATATATATATATATATATATATAAAATCATCATCACAGTCATTAACATCTTAGTAGATGTGTTGTGGTTCATAATTGGGCTTCAGCAGCTCGGACAGTTTGATTGATAATATTTCTCCACTGGTCGCGGTCATCAATGTATTGCCTCAGTATACTGTTTATTGAGAAGCTTTTTAGTAATGTCCGCCCATCGCTGTGGAGATCTTCCGCGTTGGCGTTGAGTCTGAGGCCTTCCTTGGACCACCAACCGCTCCATTTTGTGATCACTTCGATGGATATGGCCAAAGAACTTTAAAATTCTAGAGTAAACGGTACTGGAGAGACGTTGATCCGGTTTAATTTCATCCAGAACCGAGCTATTTGTACGGCGAGCCGTCCATGGAATTCGAAGCAGGCGTCTCCATGTCCACATTTCAAAGGCGTCTATACGTCGTCGATCTGATTCTTTGACTGTCTATGTCTCGCATGCATAGTAAAATAGCAAATATAATATAATATATATATATATATATATATATATATATATATATAGTAAACTCTTAAATATTGGGGAAATCTGCAAAAAAACTCTAATGTGTATCAATTATTTCACCTAACGTTTTCGCCAAAGAGAATTTGGCTTCTTCAGGGCTGAAAGAGAATAAATTATAATTAGCTACCATATATTATCTAATAAAAAACATTTACCTTACCGTGAAATTTTAGAAATGTCGAGTTATGATGTTAAAAAACTTTAGCTAGTAACAAAATAGTGGTGTTTTTTTGTTACTATGTGCAAAAAAGTTTATTTGTGAACGTTGGAAATGTATGGTAGCTTTGAACTTAAAACGCAAAGGTTTACCCAAGGACAATCGAAAAACCCATTGTCCTTGGGTAAACCTTTGCGTTTTAAGTTCAAAGCCACCATACATTTTCAACGTTCACAAATAAACTTTTTTGCACATAGTAACAAAAAAACACCACTATGTTGTTACTAGCTAAAGTTTTTTAACATCATAACTCGACATTTCTAAAATTTCACGGTAAGGTAAATGTTTTTTATTAGATAATATATGGTAGCTAATTATAATTTATTCTCTTTCAGCCCTGAAGAAGCCAAATTCTCTTTGGCGAAAACATTAGGTGAAATAATTGATACACATACGAGTTTTTTTTGCAGATTTCCCCAATATTTAAGAGTTTACTATTTAACTTATCTGCAAAGATTAAATTTCTTTTCTTTATATATATATATATATATATATATATATATATATATATATATATATATATATGTATATGTATATACCGGTATTTAGGTGGTACTCCCTTCCGGTAGGGATCTATGGAGGAGTATCACCGCAAGTCCTTATCTCTTGCCGTACTGCTCCACCATAGGCCGATCAGACACCAGCATATTCTAGTGTAAGCCGCAGATTCATCTAGAATTTTAAACTACTGCGTTAGCCTTTTTGTTTTCTGTACACCGAGCTGGGGACCGAACCCACATCCACTGAACCACTCGCAGTGAAGCGAATGAGAAACCAGCCGCCCAGCCCGCTTGGCTATCTGACCGACATACATCTAAAAATAATATAATTAAAACTGTGTTCTTATAAACTATAAATAAAATTAATTCAAAGTCAATCACCGGGAGAGAAAGCTCAAAAAATTGTAAGGTGTTTCGATCAAAAAACAATTCCTGATCTTTTTAGTACGCTAGAATTGCTTTTTAGCACATACACCAAAGAATTCTTTTTTACAATTTGAAAATTCGAAATTGTGAAGTATAATTTCCATGCATATATGCATGGGCCATAGCAAATCCCAATAAAACCAAATAAAAAGAGACTTTAATAGAATACTATCACTCTCCTCGTAACAGAGCAAACTAAGGGGCTCTAACGAGCAGACTAGGTCATAAAGCACCGTGGCAAAAGTATTCAGAATGGTAGTAGCACACAGACACCATCCTGATACTCAACTAGATTAGGCTCAAGCAAATTTGACATTAACAAACTGGAGCAAGCACTTGATGAGGCTCCTATATGAGGTCAAAATAAACTTCTGCGGTTCCATAAAACATCGTTTATCAAAGGGACCCTGTGGGTGAACTGTGTTAACGAGTATACAAAAAAATGGACGACTGAAGTGGTGAAGACTATTGAGGGCCTGTGGGAGGGAGCAATCTTCATAGATGGAGGTCAGATCAGTATACCTCCCATATGATGATCCAGAACAACCATCAAGGAAGTTGGAAAGGCTAGTGAGAGATTGAATGAAAAATGAACTGCTATTAATCAATGGCTATGATATGAATGCCTACCATCTGACCTGGGGCAGTACAAACACCAAACTGTGAAAAAATGTTTGGATAAGATTAAAGGGACTATAAGGCATACATTGAACGTAGATTGCCATGTGAAGTTGCATTGAATCATTTTTTGAACAGGACAATTGTTCAATGAAATAATTTCGAAAATAGTCTAAAAAGTTTAATGAAAAGTCCGAAAATGAAATTTTTGATTGAATATATTAGAAAATTTTTAAAAATGTTTCGTAAATTTTTGAGCAGAAAAACAGTAAGTATAATAAAAAGTTACGTGACGGCTATATATACAATTTTATATACAATAAATTAAAAAAAAATAAATACTTTGAATATTGTTAATTTCATAAATTTTTAAGTTTTAAAATTTAAGTTTGCAAATCAATGGCATCGATATTTGATTAAGCGTGGATGCATAAGTTAAATAAATAGCTCCGTTCGTACTCCTTTCCCACTTCCCCCTAACTATATCTTTGATAATGATTTGAAGCGGACGGCCACGGTTTGAGTTTATGTCACCCTTTTAATGATTGTTTTAAAGTATCATAACCGTTACCAAATCGCCCATTTGAACTCTCCTATATGCCTTTTATATTCTTTGTTAATATTATTTGTCAAATGTAGAAATAAGTTATAGATTTTGCCTGCCTGCGCAAAAAAAGAAAGGCGCACCACTCGAATGAAAAACAATCCATTATACGCACAATCAGACTAATTATTTCCTTTATATTAAAAGTCATTGAAAAAAAATCATTTTTGAGCTCGGTCATGGAATCATTTGAAATCATGGACATCTAATGACCTTGTATATGAATTTTAATATATTACATACAAATAACTCTCCTATAATACGTTATAAAATTAAATGACAGTGTTGAACCAAAGTTGGATGTGTTTTAGACTTTTTTTTCAAATTATGTTGTACAGAAATCCGGTGAACAAGTGATGGAGTTTAAATATCTAGGCATTACATTATTTAGCTATGGAAAGCTTGAAACTGAAATGGAAGATCAAGTGAATAGAGCAAACAGAGCCACATGCTGCCTGAATGAAACAATATGAAGAAATAAAAATATCGGGAAAGAAATGAAAGGAAGAATTTACAAAATAGTCATCAGACCAATAACACATGCAGCAGAAACACGACCTGACACAATCGGGACAAAAAATATGTTAAAAACAGCAGAGATGAAAACAGAGATGAAAAATGGATGGTAAGACATTATGGGACAGAGCTAGAAGTACAGATATACGACGCAGATGCAAGGTGGAGAACATCAAGAACTGGCTAAGAAATAGAAGAGTCGAATATAACGATCATATAAGCTGAATGACAACAAATAGAGTACTGAAGACGGCAAGAGACGGTTCTCCAATAGGAAGAGATTTATGGAAGATTTACCAGGAAAACGATAGAATGACAACTTACTGGCGGCACATTGAAAAAGAAACAGAGTCATGTCTACATAAAAAGAAGAAGAAATCCGGTAATCAAGTGTATACAAGTTAGGTTATGTTGATTATTTACATTTGATTTACATTTATGTATTATGAACTGAATTTCTTATGTGAACTTTTTATAATCAACATTGTCAACTGACAGCCGCTTATAGGATGAATTATAATGACACATAATGACTTATACTTACTGAAAAAATTGTTCTAAATCATTGATCGTGTAGTTTTTCTTATCAGTCTGCACCAATACCTCATCTGGTTTCCAAAACAGTTTCGACGGTAACAGCCAAGCCAAGCTCGGTGACGTTATCTGTTCTTCTCTCATTACACTCTCTCTGAGGGCGTACGATCCCAAATCATCACCTAAAATAGACAGTTTGAGCATTATCCTGTTGAAATCAACAAATAATGATTTAAATTTGAGCAACACACTGTATGTTTAAGCAAAAATATATCAACGGGTTGCTTTGCGGTCAAATCAGTTGCTCACAATTTAGATTTCAAGATTGCAAAAAGTGTTTATGTGGCCCTGATTGAATCTAATTTGAGATATGGTATTGGCTTTTAGGGTAGCTATTCTCTTCATCATTTCAGTAGAAATTTTATGCTATAAAAGAGAGCACTCAGATATTTATAAAAGGTCAAGTTTGGTACATCATGCAGGCCTCTGTTCCGGAAACATAGTATCTTGACACTTCCTTGCATATATAATATATAATCTCTATGATATATAATATATCCTGATACTGCTTAATTTTTAAAAAACATAAACAGGATATTCGGACAGAGATTCCCCTTATAACACTCGTCTAAATTATGTTATTTCACTTCCAGTTCCCTCTTCTATATTAATTAAAAAATTATATATTTACACTGGTAAGAAAGTGTTTAAAATATTTACTACCATTTTTTTTAAATCGTCGTCTATATTAGTCTCTAGAAGCAAAATACAATAAATTCATCATAATTAAAAAAAACCTGATATGCAGATGAAATCAGCAGTTCAATACTATTATACCAATTTCTTGGAAAGCACAAATGTTTCTTTTTTATTTGCTTGTTCTAGTAATAATAACAGTTTAATTGGTAATGAAAACTTCACAAAAACTATTTTGTAACTGTATTACTTACCAATTGCAAATACCTTTACTGCTTTAACAGACCCTCCCCAAACAGCAGCCAAAGATATCAAACATCTAATATATTTATCTTTCCAAGATTGAGTCTGCCTGTTTAAAAATGTCAGTGACATGGGCCCACCCATGGAATGGGCCAACAGTACTACTGGAGTATTGTTGTTTTCTTTGTAGGTATCTTCTACTAAGGTTTTGAGATTCACAAAAAAGTCTTGGTTCTCATCTAAAACATTAAAGTGAATTGTAGATTTGATATAATGACACCAGTATAATATTTATCAAGACCATTATGAACATATACTCACTTGGTGCTTTCCTAAAATCATAAGGAGCTCCTTTAATACTAACGTTCCTCACATACCCCATTTCAACCAAGGTGTTTCCTATTCCTACGAAATATTTTCCTGTAGATGCATGACTGGGATCCAACCATTCGACAGTCTCACTTCCACCCCAGCCAGGAACTCTTATATCTACTCCGTCATTGTTTCTGGTTGTTCTAGTTTTGTTGTCATATATTAACCTTACATTGTCTATCCAACAATCTACGATTAAAGGCATCAGAAGTTCTAGGTTCAACCATATGTTAAAGAAATCGTTTGATACTGATTCACATATGTAATGGATCTACAAAAAGGCCAATCATTAGCTACAATATAAGAACATGTTGCCTATATTCACTCTATATGTGTTTATGTCGAGTAACTATTTAAATATGTTTATTTAAAACATTCCCTAATCAGTGCATTGCCTCTCTAGCCGAGGGCTAGTGAACGCAATTAAATTTTATGACTTTTTCGTCTGGGAATGAAGGGGATTTCGTAATATTAATATTAGGGTTATGTAGATATAGTCATTCGAATTGTACCATCGAAGCAAACTGAATTAAATAAAACTTTAAAGTCACATTTGTGTATTTGAATACAAAAGTAATTTTTTTTAATAGAAATTTAATTTTGTATTTTTTCAAACCAGGTGTCTCTTGCGAAAATTAACCGTAGGACATTCCTTACGTAATATTTGGCGACCGTGACAGGACTTATATACGGGTGTGCTTAAAAGTTAGTTATTTTCGCTTATTTTAGTGCAAACTTTTTTCCGGCGAATAATTTTGTTTTTGTCGTGAGGCTCCGTCAAAGTTAACCTTTTTAAGCGAAAAATGGAATCATATAAAAAACGCAGACTGGTGCTTCGTAGTGAATTTACGAAAGTTGCTACTGTTTTGAACAGTTTGTTAGCTGAACCGGTGGACATTCGACCCTGGCAGAAAATTAGCATACAGTGGGAACTTTTACAAGTAAAGTACAATGAGCTTTGTGAAGTGGAAAGTGAGGTACTTGAAAATATTTGGTAGAAGCTTACGAAGAAGATGAGGTTGCAATTTAAAGCAAAAAATATATATACAAAATATAAAATGTAACAAAGTAGAAATTATAGAAAGAAGTTTTGGCTGTTCTTCGAGTTTGGCAATTGCTCTTGTTTGGTTGCATGTGATTAAATGCTTTCTAGACATTTTGGAGGCATTTAATAGCTTTTTTATAACATAAGTTGCAAATTGCTACCAAAAATAAACAAAAAGATCTTCAAACCACAAAAGATTGACGCTAAAAATTGGACAGTTTAAAATAGCGTTATACAGAAGAAAAATTTACAAAACTGCAAAGTCATAATGAAAGTCTTCAATGGATTAAAAACGCAAAAACTATCAGTCAATAATAAAAGCTAAATACATGCAAGGTAGGTACCAAAATATGAAATAAAAAACAATTGAACAATTGAAAAAATTAATTAAAAACAATTGAAAGGACATTTTAAAAATATTTTGATGTACAGTTTACAGTGTTTACAAATAGTCATACTTTTCCTTGATTAATTTAAATTATTTAACAAATACAAACATCATTATGAAGAGTTTATCAAATAATTATTGATAACAAACCATTCTTGACTTCAATTAACAAAATACATTGACCTTTTAATACTGATATCACCTTCATGCAAGAAATTCTGAATTTTTGGTAGTTTTTAACTAATTATAACTCTTGATAAAATAGTTAACAATGCAGATGTACATTATATGATTCCATACCTAGTGTTTCCCCAAGGAGTATCTATATGAGAGATGAGAAATTACCTTCTGAGTTTTGTTTATTTTGGCCTCCAATTGAGCTCCACCATCTCCAGGTATGAACACCACAGGAGCTAAATTTGATCCGATATGGCCACAAAGTCCAAAAATTAGCACGCAAATTAGATTATGCTGTAACTTCATTTTCGTAACAGTCTGTGTACTTGTTCACTTCGTTTTTTAACTTGTAAATGATTGATGTTCCCCTTTTTACTTGTTATTGTTCGTTATCTGTACTGATAAACGAGGATTGTGACACTTGTGCGAATGTTTGTCAATAAGAGTGGTGTGATGACGATTCTAGAAGACAATAACAGCTGATTTTGACGTATTTCCTTATTATGTAAATAAATATTCGAAGACACGTGCGTTGCTACGGAGGTTTCTTTATAAAAATCATATTTTGTATATAATATAAAGTCTTGATACAACAGTAGATGGGGCCCAATTTGTCAAAAATAGTAGGGATGGAACATGGATACGAACGTAAGTGAGCCTTGTTTGTATAGATGTCGCTTTAAACGCAAAATCCTCCATTTTAAACAAGATTTAATTTTAATGACACATTTTTTTCCAAAAATTCATCTACAATAATTGTCTTTACAGATTGTTACAAACCAATATGCAATGTAAACAAATATATTATTATTGTGATTTGTTATATATTAAACACAATAAAAAAAGTATATTTTTGTCTAATTAAAAAAGCTCCTTATTTCTTAGAATGTTTTAGGAAATTTTTGTTGAATTCAAATTATGTATTAACCTAAATGTCCAAACACAATTTTTCTTTTGTTTGTGTTATTACAATCCTCATGAGTGCATCTGAAATATTTCAAGTACCGTATCCAGTTATTTCTGTAGCTATACCTTCGTCTTACCTACATACTATATGGGATGCTAGTGATCACGTAACTAAAGGCTTGACCGGGTTCCCTTCCTGTTTTAGTTCCTTCACAAGAAAGCAAGCGCAGCATTTGAAGACTGAGATTTTCTTGGCTTAATAATTTAAGGGAATTGTTTAATATGAGTTCATCTTAATTATTTAGGACAGCTGTGAATAAAATTAGAATCTTCGGAATCATTTCCAACCTGTGATAGGAGAAGGAACTTCAAGAAGAACGGGGTTTTGTCTTACACTTTTACGATGTTTTTTGATTGTTGTTTGTTGTTTCTTTAGTGCTTTCATTAACCTGTTTTGTCTTTAATATAAGTTTTGTCATAATCTGAAAATATATTTTTGTTAAATGGACATATATGAGATTTGCGAAACCCATTAACTGAAATTTCTGCAGTGCAATTTCTTCCTTCGCATTGCTCCTGTAGTGATCCTTTCCCGAGTTAACATGCTCCTTTTCTATCTTGGCTGCACCGTATCTACTGAAGACGAAGAATAGTCAGAAAAACGTATATACGGTTGTCTTCCATCGACATACCTATTTTGTTTTTTATTTTCCTGTTTTGCGAGACATGCCATTACATTTTACTTTTGGAAAAGGTATGCTACTCCTCCAAACCTCTGATTCCATGAATCTTCTAATTCCTTCATTCCATGAGCGTCGAGATCTACCTCTTTTTCTTTTTCCAGGGGGCTTCCATCTATGAAGTTTTTGGGCCCAACGTTCGTCAGGCATTCTCTATAGGTGTCCAAACCATTTTAAACCTCTTCTTTCTATTCTGCAAATGACCGTTTTTGTAGCATTTACGTTATTTCTTATAGATTCGTTGGTCTTCGACTAATGCCGATTTGTTGTAAAGTTTCCACAATTTAAGTCTTGGAACTGTATCATACCCATTTTCTAGGTCGATGAAGGCCAGATGTACTTCGCCGCTACCAACCGCTATTCTTTTTTCTATTAATTGTTGGAGTATAAACAAGTTATCAGTGCAAGATCTACCAGGCGTAAATCCACTTTGGTCTTCCCTTTGTAAAGATGGAGACTTGGTGAGGGGTTTTCATTCAGATGGTACTTTAATTTGTTGGCAGTATTGATTCATTAGAAAAGTTATTCGTTTTATTAGGAGAGGACCTCTTGCTTTAAGTAACTCTATAGTTATATTGCCAGGTACTGGAGATCGCCCGTTTTTCATTTTAATTAACGCAGTACGGACCTTCTTGTTATTAGTATTAATCTTACTATTTGTTTGTATCTCCATATTGTATTCCTCTCCCATATATTTCAATCTGGACCCTTGGAGTAAATTTTTATAGTAATTTTCCCACTTTTCTATAGGAATTAAGTTGCTTAAGGAGTTATGGGTGTTTTTCTTTAGATTAGTGATAGTTCTCGCCATGCTTCCGTAGTCTGAGAACTAAAACCAATTAAATTTTCAACTTTTACACATTTTTGTTTCCAGAAACTTGTTTTTTGCTTCTTTTATTTGATTGCGTACTTCTCCGTTTTTCCTTGGATATGATACTATATTGCTAGATGTTTTATTTGTTAGCCATTTCTTATATATTTTGCTTTTATCTTGTATCATTTCTTTTACATTTTCTGTCATCCATGGTGGTTCGTGCTGTTTTTTGTCGTTGTTCTCTGTTCTCTGTTCCTAATACTTCATTAGCAATTTTTTATTATCGTTTTGAGGTTGTATTTTTGTTCTACATCCATATTTCTTTCCATCTCATTTAGTTCCTTTTCTAATCTAGATTGAAAAAGATGTTTAACACTTGGTTGGAATAAAATGTGCAATTTACATCTCTCCGTTTTGTACTATGTATGTACTATGTATGTATTGTTTCTCTCACTTTCGGTGTTGTTTGTATTGTTTAAAGGAACACAAAAGATTAGCTAAAAGAAAGTAGTGATCTTTCCCACAGTTAGATCCTCTTTTTACTCTGGAGTCTTGGCACTTAAATTTTGATTTCTGTCTCATTATTATATAGTCTATGATCTACTTCTGTTGGAGTGAAGGTCGTTTCCAAGTGTATTCTCAACAAAAAGTTGACAGAACTGAATTAAGCTGCTAACCGCTTAATATTTATATGTAAATCAGTAAATAATAGAAAAACAACCAATTGCAAAAGTATTACCATTTAAATTATTAAAATAAAGCAGCGAAAAACTAGTTAGACACTGTTTTTTTACAGTAATGGATACAGTTTTTTGGGATAATATAAAATAATAATATAAAATAGTTTAGAAAATAGTTTAAAAGCAAATTTATATAACTAGTAAAATATATTATTTTTTCTGGTACATTATCAGTTAGTCAAATGTGGCTAATAGTTATATAGTCTGACACTAACCCTCTTCCCATCCACACTCACACTTTCTAGTCACCTTGACAAAATCTAGAGTCCTTGTCTATAAACAAGTGCTCCATTTTGCATCTCGCACGTGCACCTGGTTTTTCTATTAAACGATCTTATCGCCACAAACGCCTAGTCCATAAAAAATTGACTAAATAACTGTCATTCGTATCGAATCAAACAAAATCGCATCGTGTCTAATTCGAGAACAAGTAGGCGTTGATATATTTCGGCCACACAACAAGAACATGATTCCGTGCTTGAAAATTTTCAAAAGATAACTTATCAACGTCATATTTTATCGCGATAAAGTCACAGACTGCTGTGCAAAATTCTTGATTTTTTTGTTTGACAGAGGCGTGCATAGAACACTAGGTTATACTATTAATAGCTTGCACATTAAACACATATAAAAACATCGAAGTAAAAGAATAACGCTTTTTGCCCTGCTAAAACGTTGATAACTAATTGCATCGTCTTCATTTTATCTACTGCAGTTCGGAATAATAATCTGGTGCTATTGGACCTCTAACCTCTAAAGAATTTATATGCAAGAAGCTATTTCATACATAAAAAGATATAAATTCTTATGAATTAGTAATATAGACTGGAATCCATAATGTACGCAAGGCAAAATACGTATTTTGTATTTAATAAATAAATTCTAAAAAAAAATAAAAGATTTTGTGTCTTATTCACATTCAATTAAACTTTCCTTGCAATAAACCAGTCCTCTACCCAAACATTTCCTTTTAATATCATCACTACACCTTTAAGATCATCACTATAAGATGGTGTCTACGACTAGAATAACTGTAGAGAATTACAACAAGAGAAAGACGAAAAGAGTACAAAAGAAAAAAAAACGAACCAATTTAGCTAAGAACCTCACAGAGAGAGAAAAGTCAGAGCATTCTATAAGACAGTTAACATCAACAGAAATGAATTCAAGGCAACCACAAGACAATGCTGAAGTCAAAATGGCGATCTATTAACGACAAGGAAAGATGTATTGAATAGATGGGTGGAATCCTTTAATAAGGCACTTAATATAGAGGAAGAAAAAAAAAACCTACAAGAGGAAAGAGATGAGGTAAGAGGAACGAGAGGGAAGAGTAACCACCAACTATTCTTGAAGTTAAAGATGCAATTAAAAAACTAGCCAGAAACAAATCACCCAGAATAGATAATCTCCAAGTTGAACTATATAAAGTAGGTGGCCATGATATCATAATGGCATTACAGCAGCTTATAAAAAAATATGGACACATAAATCCCTTCCCAATGATTGGAATATTGGAATACTTTGCGCCATACACAAAAAAGGAGATATCTTTGAATGCTCTAACCACAGAGGAATTGAGCTTCTAAAAGCAGCGTCTAAAATATTTTCCACAGTACTATCTCACCATATAGCACCATATGCAGAACGGATATACCAGAGTAGGAAAATACCAGGCTGGTTTCAGAGATGGTAAATCTAGATCATCAGATCATCAGATTGAAACCCTGAAACAAATTTAGGAAAAAACACGGGAATATGGCATTACTCATTACATATTTATAGACTACAAAGCAGTCCTACTACTCTGTGAATAGAAGAGAAATGTCCAAAGCAATGAAAGAGCTAGGAATACCAAATCAGTTGGTAAATTTAACAAAACTAACCCTTGAAAAAGTTAAATGTAGAGTACGAATTCAGGGGGAACTGTCTGAACCTTTTATGCACCAGAGAGACCCTCTCTTATGTATACTGTTCAATCTGGCTCTGGAAAAAGTAATATGTATGTCACAAATCACAACCACTGGTTCAATATATAATAAATCAGTTCAAATCCGTGCATATGCTGATGATATCAATATTGTTGGGAGAACGGAAAATACTGTA